AACTCCCTTTGTAAAGCCCTATTCTAGATATAGAAGAAACTGAAAGGTCTCTAGTTCTTGGGGAGCTCCATAGTCTGTCCAGTGCTGGATCTGAGCTTCTTGTTAGACCCATTTAATTGCTAACAAATAAAACCCAGCTTGATCCAGTTGTCACAGTGTGCCACTGTTAAACAGGCAACCTCTTTTCCCTGCAATATCAGGAGATGCATCAGGGGCTCCTGATATCATCCACGTGAAGCCCATCACCAAGCTCCCGGTACCTGGCCCCAACTGTGCGATGCTCCCAAGTAATGGATATCCTGGGCCCATTCCTCCTGGCTACTTCGTCCACCCAGGCACAGGAAGGTTGCTTCCAGAAGCAGGAAATCTGGGCTATGACCTGCTGAATGCCATCCTAGTTCCCACCACAGATGTAACTGCAGGTAAATCAGAGGCACCAGAGCTGGCTCCTTCCCGATCTGGTCACAGATCTGAGCTACCATTTGGGAGTGGGGCCTATGGGGCCCTTAAAGGACCTGTCATATCCCCAGATCATGATGAGGAACTACAAAGGGACCAGCCATGTATCCGCAGATGCCCCCGCTGAAATTAACTCTTAGAGATAGTTTATCATATCTGTAGCATTATTTTCTTAGAAAGACTACTCCTTTAGTAAGGATTTGGCCTTAAAATGTGTTATAATGGTTGTGAATTACACCATAGAATGAACCACAGAATCATAGAATAGAGAGCCACATTCTCTCCATTCCAGTAGCATCCCTGTTCAATACAGAGGGAATACCCACAGATCAGAGAAACAGAGAGCAATCCAGGTTGGGGAAGGGAAAAGGATACCTAGAGTCTTCTCTGTCCATCTACTTTGCAGTGATAGGAAAGGGCTCCCAGCTCTTCTCTGTCTCCTTGTCTAGGTGGTGTTCGAACATCCAAAGGCCCTGTCCTCCCCTATATCTCTTATCCTATCTGTCCTGCTACCAGCACCCCTGTGACCACATGTCTGCCAGCTCTTCAGTCAAATAGGACATCCCAACTAGGGGGACTCATGACAGATCCTGCAACTGGGCTGGAGGTACCTGTGTTGGCTGTGACTGTTCACCCTGAGAATGGACAATGGCTTGCTATTGGAGGAACATACTGCAACCCTCTTACAAAGACCTTGGCACCTATAGAAATGGGAGGCCCCATGGAAGATCCAATCACAGGAAGCATCTCTCCAATCCTAGGAGTTGGGTTGGATGAAAACACAGGTCACCAGCTCCTAACCCAACCCCACCACATTCTTTCCCTCCACCTTGAACCTGATGTCCCCTGACTTCCCATGTCCTGGTTCTAGTCTAATCCTAGTCTCATATTCTCCCTACTGTGTCCTCTACTTACCTGCAACCCACTGCCACCCCTCCAGGTTCTATCTATGCCATCTCTCTTACCAATTCCCTACTTCAGTACTTTTTGGGAAAAGAAAAGGGAAAATAGAAAAAGGGAGAGGGGTGAAGTGGGTTCTGGAGAAATTCTAGTTCTTCATCATTATCAAGAATGTAGCACCCTTTTTCTTCACCTATTTCCTTTTCCAATATCCCTTCACCACTGCCCTTGCCCCATTGCTACCATCTGTCTCCCTCTTTCCATTTCTGGCTTCTGTTCCATTTTCTGTGCCTCATTTCTCCCCCCTCCCTCACTTCTTATACTCCTCTGCTCACAGCTCTGCTATCTCTGCCCCTATCTTGTCCCTCTCCCATCTCTACCTCTCAGTTTTTTGCTTCCAGGTGAGGTGCTTGTACTGGGAGGCCTAAGGGACACCTCAGGAAGCCTCCTGTTGCCTGGGGACTGTTTCGTGGAGCCACTGAGTGGGAAGTTGGCCTGGCTTCGAGGGGCTTGTCTACAAGAGGGCCACGTAGTACCCCATGCAGGGGGTCCCCAGGCCTTATTAGATGCCAATGTGCTGGCTGCCCAGATGCACATGAAGGAAGTATTACAGCAAATCCAAGAGAGACCAGGCTTCAGAGGGCATGGAAAGATGGAAGCTGCAGCCAGAGACCTGAGGCAGTCACTCTCCTTAAGTCTGTACCACCTCTTGTACCAGGTTCAAAGACTGGAAACACAGCTCGAGGCAGTATCTGGCATCAAAGCCACTGGTGGCAAGATGGGTATGTAGGTAATTATAGAATGATGTATCATAGGTCAGAGTAACCCCGGTTTCAAAATGTTATGTTTTTTGTTCAGTCCCTGAGCTTAGGGACAAGGCTACAGCCATATTAGCCATACTCATAGCCGATTCAGTTGACAAGAGCGAAAAATAAATGAAATCTTTCCTTAATACTTTTTACAGAACGGAAAAATCTCTCTCCTCTCCCACCAACCCTTGTCACCAGACCCTATCTTTCAGAGGACCCATGTTACCTAGAGGGAGGGGAATAGAAGGATTCCAGGTTCTTTGTAACTTCAGCAAAACTGACATATTTTATTTTTGTGTAACATAATACTCCTCATGTTCCTTTCCCAGCTTCTCCCCCAGTGAAGGTGTTCCCTCTCCTATGAATATATGGCTTCTATCCCAATCTGTAATACCTTTCCTCTGTCTTTATTCACTTGCTCATTCCCTTGAAAATTCTTTATATTTGTATGGCACCTTGTACTTTTCCAAGTGCTTTTTCGTATGATCTCCCATTTGATCTTCTGGTACCCTTGTGAGGTAGGTACGACAGGCATTCTTATCCTCATTGTACAAATGGAGAGCTGAGGCACAGAGAAATCAAGCAAATTCCCCAAGGTCCCATTGCAAAGTGAGTTAATAGCACAGCCAGACATAACCAGGACTAAAATTTTGGTCTCTTGGGTCCTCCACTCCTTTCTCAATTTTTATTCCTGGAACAGGCTTCTAGTTCCCATCTACTGAATGCTTGCATAAATGGAGTTCACTTCTTCTCTGAGGCTGTGTGGAACAAAGATATTACCACCAGCTTCCTAAAGTAATATATTAATTTTAACCCCTTCTTTTCATCTGGCTCCTCCAGAGAGGTTCAGAACACATGTGCAGGGACTTAGTCTTTCTTCCTGAACTCCTGATCCTAGGTTGGGGCCAAATAGCAGCAAATGGTGAATATTTCCTAGGGCACCTCTTTGGTTAAAGAAATGACCTTTTGAGACTAAAGGAAAAGACTTTGAGTACACACTTTAACCCTACCACTATCTCTCTGTCTTTTCCTATGTTAGGGATGATTCAGTATCCTGGAACAGAATTGTGGATCCCAGCTGTGTTTGGGATGGAAATCCCAGACCCTGCTGGCTCAGGGCTTTTGGTGCCCATCCTGGGCATGAAATGCAACTGGAACTCTGGTCAATTTATTCCACTGGCTGGTACCATGGAGGATGCTGATGGCAAAGGTAGTGGGGGAATCCAGTTATTTGTGAGCATCTCTGTGGGGATTTGAAAATGCTCTATGGGGAGGGAAAGGCATTGAAAAATCCAGGAGGGGACAGCCATATGGAATGGAGGATATGGTAGGAGAATTTTGGTTCTGATATTGCCTGCCCAAGTACAAAGGAATCCCTTTCCAATTTAACCCACCCTCAAGGCTGTTGAACATATAACAGAGAACTAAAGATTCCAAAAGCCCAGTAAGACTGATTCTCTTATCAGGTAAGAATTGATCTTTTTTCCTGGAAAGGAACCCAGGTAGTAAAGAGCCTCAGGCTCACCAGGGCCTTTAACTACAGGTAGCCACTTAAATCTGGCTCGGAACTCACAGTAGCAGATGGGATATTAGATGCTGGAAACAGTCTTTCTCATTTGCTTCAAATTCTTCGTCATTCCTAGCCTCTCTCTCATTTAACTGTGGTCACTGAAACTGGGGGTCGGGGCTCCCACAGGTCTTATTCCAATTTCTATTGGAGCCCGAACCATCAACCCCATGACAGGGGAACCTGGTCCAATCATTGGTGCCCAGATTGACCCCACTGTCGGAGTGGTGGTGCCTATTGTCCAAGAACTAGGGGTCCTGCCTCGAGGAGTAGAAGATTCCAACCTGGTAGGTGAGAGGCTGATGGGGGAGTACTGTTGAGGATGGGAAGAGAGGAGGGAAAGAATCCTAAAAAAAATTAAATGCTACAGAGAGGGACTTTCACTATTCTCTAATGCTGGTATCAACCCTAGAGATAGAAGAGGATGTCACATGTAACAATCCTACTCTTCCCTGATTGTTTCTATATAACTTGGTTTCCTTTCTTCTGGCATAATATACAATTCCACATCCTGTACTGGTGCCACCAGGGTCTCTGTGAGGGAAAAAAGAATGAAGAACTCTAATGTTCTTTTTCTGTACCGTGTCTCTCAACCTGGGACATAAATGGAAACTGATGGGTGGAGAGGGCATAGGGAAAAGTCAGCTTCTCCATCTGCTTTTGGAATCCTCAGCCTGGATGGAGAGCTCATGCATGACAGAGGACTTGAGAATCACCCAAGGCAAAGCAGGACTGAGTAAGCCATGTTTTCCAGACTGTCTTACTGGAAAAGGAGCTAGGTGCCCGAGAGCTGTACTGGCGCCACCAGGGGGAGGATGAGGAACGGCTTATGGAAACTCTGGAGGCTCTTAGCCAGGAGCTACTTGAGACTCACAACTGGGATACACTAATGGAAGTGAGACAATAGAGGCTCCTCTTTATTTTCCTATTCCTCTGACCTGGCCCTGCACCCTTTAAGTTGCAAGCATTATTGTAGTATTTGTTTCTGTAACCTTTCTCATTAAACCAACAGGGACACCAAAAATGTAGAAATAGGTCCAAGAGTTTCTAGTTCATCACCCTTTGATTTTTCAGGATTACAGAGATTAAAGGATAGAGGCTAGATGGTGTAAAGCATTCCCATTGAGGTACTGCCTTCTGACCATTTGCCTTTTTATTGCTATTCATAGCTGCTGCCTCAAGACAAATTGAGGGTAGTTGAACAAACCTGCTGTAACCTGGAGTTCAGTTCGCTTCAGGAAGCCCAGAGGAGAGCCAGAGTCCTAATGCCCTGCCCCCTGAAGCTGGGGCTACTCACTCAAGGTGGGAAGAGAAAAGACCTTGGATATCTCACTCAGGTAGATGTCCCCCAAATCCAAGAATAGTCATCAGAGAGCATCCTGAGGGGTAGGGAATCTGCGATCCCCTAACTGTCCAGGCAGATGCTCCATCTTGTTTGGGAGATTCAATGTCATTCCCTTCTCCCTAAGATTCCTCAAAAGTCCTTATAAATCTATTCTGGCAGTGCCTTCTGGTGCCAAGAAGCCATTGTCCATACTCCCAACCCTCATTCTGGACAACTGCTTCTATTTGCCTCTTTTTTCTGCCCTCCCCAGCAGACAGAGAAGAATGGGAACAGGAGGCACAGGTAGTTCTGGGAGTGCGAAGGGTCCTAGAGGGCCTGGGGCAAGCAGTGGAGAAACTCAGACAGGAAGGTGGTCGACTGCATGGCCAAGAGAAGGAAATGTGGAGGCAGCAGAGCAAATACCAGAGCAAACAGAGCTGGCATCGGACTAAAAAGGTAAGGCTTTGGGGTAACTGAAATGGGAGAAAGCAATGCTCACAGAATCACAGTCTCAACACTAGAAGAGAACTCTGAGGTCATTTAGACCAGAGTTATCAAATTCACAGCCTAAACCAACTTAAAATGCAATTGAGAAATGTTTAACAAAATAAATAAAAATACAATGCAACATAATGTTCATTTGTGGTTTTCTAAGTCAATATGGGTACTTGAGTTTGACACCAATGAAAGTTCAATTACCTACATGACCATTAATTTCTCCAGGGCATTTTAAAAAGGATTCATGCTTCAACTAAACATAGGATGAGGCCCTAACTCTACCTCAGGTTCAATTTCTGACTGTACATTTTGACTGGTATCCCACTTTCATCCTAAGTACCTCTTGTGATTTACCTTACTGGGATAGGATTTGGCCCATATGTAAGCAGACTTGGGATGTCATTTGATAGCTGGGGAGCAGCAGTTTTAATAGAGCCATTGGCTAAGATTTCTCTGTCCTAGGTTGTTCTGCATCTCTCTGGTGAGTTCCAGGAACTAGTGAGGGAAACACAGGGAACTTTGGATGGGGCCATTAGTCAGCTGCAGTACATAAGGGACCTGAACCGCCTCCAGCTTTTACAGATCCAGGTACCAATTTTTTTTGGGGGGGAAGAACAGGAAGGGAAAGGAAATCATGGGTGCCCATAACTGGTGAAGTCCAAGAGACATACTACTCAACCTTATGTAACAGGTGGGGCTCTCCACTGGCCCAATTTTCTGTGGTCTGAATGCCACAGTGGGCATTGCAGATTCTCATCTCCAGGAACCCTACGTGTTTGGAGAATTACCCAGGAGGCAGATTCTATGGGGAGGATGATGCTTCTCTCAGGGATGGGACTGTTGCCTGTCCTTTGTTGGTCCCATTATTGAGGAGCTTCACACAAATGCTGAAGGGAGTCCATGGTCATTGCCCAAAAAGAGATCAAGGACAAGAAACAGGTGAGGGCTAATTATTGGTCAGGCTTGTTCTCTTCTAAATTTCTTCACCTGTTCATACCTATATCAGACAACTTTGGCCACTATTACAATGAAAGAATATAAAGACACTGCTATTGAAAGCAGAATTTCCCATTAGACTCTTGGGCTGGGGTACCATGGGAGAGTATGAGGCAAGAAGCTACAGCTTCAATCCAACAAGCATTTAAGTGCCAGCTATGGGCAAGACACTCTCTATACAGATCTATATATCCAGCCCCCCAGTCCGTTCCCTACACATCAGTCCCTCATCACCAGTTGCCTCTTACACATTTCAGATTGGATATCGCAATGACATCTCAAACTCAGTATGTCCAAAACTGAACACATTATCTTTCCCACCCAAACCCTCCTTCTTCCAATTACCCTATTTCTGTTGAAGGCACCATCATCCTGCTGGTAGCCCAGGTCTGTAATCTGGGCATTATCTTCTCATTTGCATGACTCCTCATCTCCCTCACCCACATAGCAGATCAGTTGTCACCTTGCTCTTTCTACCTCTGCAAAATCTCTTGCATCTGACCCTTTCTCTACTCACATAGCTACTATCTTATTTTAGGCTCTAATCACTTCTTGCCCAGATTATTGCAATAGCTTCCTAATTGGCCTCCGTGCCTGAAGTCTCTCCCCACTCAAGTCCATCTTCCATACTGGTGCTCAACTGATCTTCCTTAAGCAAATATGAGAGTTGAACTGGTCACTCCTCTACTCAATGAACTCCAGTGACTTCCTATTGCCTCTAGGATAAAATACAAATTCTTCTTCTTAGCTTTTAAAGCCCTTCACATCCTGGCCCCAAACTATCTCGCCTCATGAAACCCCACCTACACTCTGTAATCCAACCAAACTGGCCTTGTCTCTGTTCCTCATAGAAGACTCCCCATCTCTCATTTCCATGCCTTTTCACTGGCTGTGCTCCATGCCTGGAATGTACTTCCTTTTCTCACTATACCTTAGAGAATCCCTCTTTTCCTTCAAAACATAGGTTAAGAACCACCTTCTACATGAACTTTGCTGATCCCAATAGCTAATGTCCTCCTTCCCCCCCAACTACTTTATACTTAATTACATTGTATGTATTTGCATTTATTCTCTTTGAATTTCTGTATATATTTATATATACACTTGTCTCCCCCATTAGAATATAAACTCTGGCAGGAAGGGATTGTTTCATTTTTGGTATTTTTGTCCCCAGTGCTTAGCATGGTGCCTGGTGCATGGTAAGCACTTAAATGCTTCTTGATTTAATGACAACACAAACACAAAAACAAATGGCCTCTGTTCTAGGAGCTTATATTCTATTGGGTGGTTGCAAAACATGTACATAGAGAAGTGAGCAAGGTTGATAAGAGAAGAGATCAACAATTGGAGAGATCTGGGAAGGTTTCAAAGAGGAGGTGGCACCTGACCTGAGTCCTGGAGGAAGATAAGGGCCCTGAAAGGAAGAGACAAGGAGAAAGTGCATGCTGGAAATGGGAAATAGCCTATGTAAATGCTCAGGAACATCTAGTAGTCTAGTTAGACTATAACATGAAGAGTTAGAGTGGATGTCCATGAAGTGGAGTAAAATGAACTAAAATGGAAATACATGATGGAGCTTGATCGTAGATGGCCTCAAATACCAGGTTTTGGAGTTTGTATTTTATCCTAGAGGGATCTGCTGAAGTGATGGGTTTTTAGTTTTGCTTTGTTTTAAGCAAGGGTGTGACATGACCTGACCTGTGCCTTAGGAAGGTTATTCTGACAAATATGTGGAAGACGGATTAGAAAGAGGAGAAAGAATAGCAGGCAAGAAGAGAAATTAGATTATTGTAGTGTAGGTGTAAGGTGAAAAGAAGCTGAACTAGAACGTGAGTAAAGTAAAAGTACATGTGAATAAAGTAAAAGATTCAAGAAATTTTACACAAGTAGAATCAAGACTATAAACAGAGATCCTGTGCTGTCTTCTGACTCCAGACAGTCTGAGAATTGCTCAGCAACTTACTTCTTCCTTTCTGTGCAGATGGAAACAAAGTCCAATGCCTATGGACTTTGCCACTTATCTCTCTTCTGAAGACCTCTGACAGCAAGTTCCAAGCTTAACAAGTGGGAGCTGAACTAGTAGAATAGCTGTACCCTAAACCAGGAAACTCCCCTCCCCACAAGGGTACCTCGTCTTTCTAAATCTTGCGTACTTGTTTATACTGAACCTGACTAGAAAAGGGGCGCAAACCCAGAGACAAGAAGAAATGAAAGCTGTAGAAAATTTAAGTCTGATTTCTGATGCTCCTGAGTTATTATAACTTATGGATTTCCATCTGGACCTAGAAGGAAGGACAAAGCTTAGTACTAAGTACAGTCGTTGTTGTTGTTGTTCGTTTGGTCATTTTCAGTCGTATCCGACTCTTCGTGACCCCATTTGGGGTTTTTGTGGCAAGGTTCCTGTAGTGGTTTGTCATTTCCTTCTCCAGCTCATTTTATAGATGAGGAAACTGAGGCAAATAGGGTTCAATAACTTGCCCAGGGCCACAAGTGTCTAAGGCCAAATTTGAACTCAGGTCTTCCTGACTCTAGGCCTGGCACTCTATCCACTATCACCTACAGTGCCTTATCTCTATTCTATAACAGGCTTTCAACAAATGTTGGCTAATTCAACTAATGCATAAGTGTTGCTTCATGATGGTAAACCTGGGAGAGTAGTGCTCTTATTTTCTTTGTCACTTATTTGTATGGACCAGAAGGGTCAGTGAGCAAGGCAACTGATTCCCTATGGATCTCCTTCTCACTGCAGAACTCAGAAGTGTTTTCCAGAGGCACCCCTACCCTCAGGCAAGTCAGCAAGGTGATCTGGTTCCAGTGCAGCCATCAGACCTTTCTGCCAGGGAGTTTGTGATTTACCAACATGGCCTCTCGATGCTACAGTTCCTCACACCTCAAATCAAAATAAGCCTGAACACACTGAGATCTCAACCTAAGTGATGATCTCCCAGCAGCCACAGCAAACTAAACTGTCAGAAAGAAGATGATAGAGAGTAGAACAGGAATAGCACCATGTGAACTTCCAAACTCTCAGTTTCAAAGTAATATCACCAGCTCCAAGTTTAATCTTCCTAATGAGAAAATTGGCAAATTGATTGCCTCAACTTTGCAGAAGACCTTTTAAATGCTCTTAATTTTATTGGCTTTGCTTGCCCAGGAGCAATTTGAATTGATGTATCAATGCACTCAACTCAAATTAATCTAATTGACATTGCACAGCTGAATTGAACAAGGAATTTTCCAGCACAATTCAACATTTTTTCAGCATCTACTATGTGCTAAGCACTGGGGAGATGAAGATGGAAAATGATGTAGTAACTGCTATCAAGGAGCTCACAGTCTAGTAGGATAGATCAAGCATATAAACAAATAGCTATTTTACAAGGTAAAATATAATACTGGCAAAGGAGAAATGCAAAGTACTTTGAGAATATTTGAAGAGAAAGCTTACTTCCAAATGATAAGGGGGAGGGGGGAGGGGGGAGCAGACAGTGATACATGAGTTGGACCTTGAAAACAGAAAAGAATTCCAATGGAAAGAAAAGTGGAGACAGTACATTCAAGGCATAAAGAATAGCTTAAGTGAATGCTTGGAGGCAGAAGAGAGTAGCATGAGTTAGTAGTCCAGTTTAACTAGGACATACAAGAAAGTAACAGGCTGGAAAGGAAGGTTGGAGCCAGACTAGAGAGCTTTCACGTGCTATGGTAAGGTATTTGTAGTTCATCTCATAATAATAATGATAAGAGTATGGCATTGTAGATAAAGTGCTGGCCTTGGAATCAGGAAGACCTGGATTTAAGTGCTGGCACTGACACATAATACTTATATGTCCAAGAGTAAATCATTTCACCTTTCAGTGCCCAAGGGAACTCTGGGACTACAAGTCACTAATGAATGGCTTGCTCATATGGATAGAGGGAGTATCCATCCAGGAGCTTCCCCACACCAATGAAATGACAGGTCTTGTTTAAAAAAGAAAGAAAGAAAACAATGAAGATCACATTTTTACACCACTGTAAAGAGCAGAAAGGGCATTCCTCACAACTGATGTAGGAGCACAAGTATTATTATCCCATTTTAAATATGAGGAAACTGAGGCTTAGAGAAATTAAGTGACTTGCCCATGATCACACAGCTAGTAAGATAAGATTCAAACCCAGACTTCTTGACTCCAAGTCTAGTAGGTTTATTCCCCAGCCCTGCACTACATCATTCCATGCTGCTTCTTAATCTAAGAAATATAGAGAGTAACTAAAAGGTTTTGCTCAGAAGAGTGGTCAAGACAAATCTGTGCATTAGGAAGATTATCTTGGCAACTGTGTAAATTCCTATAAGAACAGTGATTTGTTTCCCTTTCAGGCTCCAAAAATCACCCTGCACATTGCTTCCAGTCTCCCAGCTATCTATGCCCCAGACAATGCCTTCCACAATTCTTTCTTCTATCAGGTATTCCAACTTCATTCCCAGCCAAGACTTTCAGAATTCTAGGAGCTAGTAAAGAAAGACCCAAGCAAGAAACTTAAATGAATGTGTGTGTGTGTGTATGTGTGTGTGTGTATACACACATGCATATGAATATACATACATATGGATACATATGTATATTACATGTGTGTCCATGTATATGTATATATGTGTGTATGTATCTATATTTTTAAAAATATTTCTTTCTTAATCCTTAATATCTCCCATTAGAAAGAAATTCTTAAGCTAAAGGATAATAAATGCCACCGAGTAAGAGCTTTCCTTAGTCAGTGAGATGAATATGTCCTGGCTTGTGCCCAGAGCTTCATAAATGGCCATAAGCCCATCTGTCCTTTTCAAACTTAGCGACTCTAAAATGGTATTTCCTTTAAGTCATGTGATCCACCCTCAGGAAATCCTGGCCTCCAGAGTACCTCTCTACAGAGAATGATTTGCAACTGTTTCTCTTCCCCACAATTCTTAAGATTTGCTTGGTGAAGGAGTGCCTGTCTGGCAGCTCCAGGCCAGCAAATGGGAAACCAGGAGTAAAAAATGATGATTTTTGACTGGATAGCTTAAGGGGAAACAGACTTTGGATACATGTTAGAAGGCTAGTAAATGGTTTGTATTTAATGCTAAAATTTAAAGGATTTAAGGAAACAAGGAAGATTAAGACAACCAAAAATTCAGCCATAACCAGAGTATAGGGGGAAAAAAAGGAAAAGTGAAAGTACCACTAAAAGGGTAGTGGCTGAATAAGATTTAATACAATAAAGGCTTACTAATCTACTGCTGTAAATTTTCCCATACATACTTATAGGAAGAAAGTGGAGGAAAGATAGAAAAAATGGGAGACAATAAAAAGTTTCTCCACAGAGATGAATTAGCAAGAAATTTCCTTCAATTCAACTAAATTCAACAAATATTTATTAAGCATCCATTAATTCAAGGTATTTTGGGGAATGTAAAAAAAACAACATAATTTTGGCCTCAAGAAGTTATATTCTATAGGGACTATATAATATGCATACAAACAAGCAGAGGAAAAGGAAAATTGGATGGAGAAAACAGTGAAAGGAGGGAAGTTAGGAGATCATGCCAGGCTTCACAGAAAAAGCTGCATTTAGATGAGCCTTGATTCAGAGGAAGTGCATTCTAGGCATGAGGTAAAGCTTATATGAATGTATAGAGGTGGGAGATTACATATCAATTTCAGAGAGTAAGATGGCAATAAGATGAGCCAGAACCTGGAGTTTCTAGAATGCTAAGTCTTTGCATTCTTTCTTAGGTTGAATTTTCAAGCCACTCCTCCAACCTTGGTTTCAATATTCCCATAAAAAGAATATAACTTGATGGGTACCTTATAATTCTGCTGGGTCAGGAGTTGGGGATACAATATTAATGCAGATAAATCAATATAAAATAATCTGAGGAGAGAGAGCTCTAACAACTAGTGGGATCAGATAAGGCTTTTCATTGGACGTGTCACCTGACAGGAGCCTTGAAGGAAATTAGAGATTCATTGAGGTAAAGGAATATTTACAAGCATTCAGGACAACCTGTGCAAAGAGATGGAGTGGGAAATGGAAAACTGAGTTAAGGGAACAGCAAGTAAACCAGTTTGACTGGAATATAGAATATACAAATGAGGGATGATGTGAAAAAAATCTAGAGAGGTAGTTTGGAGCCAGACTATGGCAGACTTTAAATGCCAAGCTGAAAAGTTTATATTTTATCCTAGAGGCGATAGGGAGAAGCTGAAGTTCCTTTAACAAGGAAGTTACATAATTAGACCTGAACATTAAAAATATTATTTTGGCAGTTGTTTGGAGAATAGATTGGTGAAAGGAGAGTTAGCATACAGGGAGACCAAGTAGGAGGTTATAAAAATAAGATAAAGGAGTGATGATTAAATTCCTGAATAAAAGTGGTGGTAGTGTGTGGAGGAAAGTGAATAGTTAGGGTTAACTGTTCAGGAAGATACTATGTATCCCAAGAATTCTGAAATTTTATGATTGTATGAGTAAGTTCAGTCTTACAAAACTAGAAAGGCTTTACGTGATGTTAATGTCTCTAACTTGGGATGTTTTCTCAATACAGAATGATCAGAATAAACTGTTCATTTTGAGAGAGTGTTTAGCATCTGTGGGAAGCTTCAGTCTGCTCCTGACTCACTGTCTAGCCCATATCACTGCTGCTGACCTCTACCAGGATTCCAACCCTATTTTTCTAAAGCTGTTTTATGAGGTAACATGATTCTTTTTAAAGCAGAATGTCTCTAACAATAAAGCACTTAGTTCTATATAAGGAGTGGCCCAGTGTAATTGGCTTGAGACATTAGTGTCTTTAAATTTTGAAGCATTTTCTTGTAGGTTAAGAGTTAAATATTTAAGTGCCTACTATCTATGCTGAAATCACTGTGAGGTATACAATATAAGACAGAGTCCCTTCTCTCAAAGAACTAACATCTGAAGCAAGAAGACATACACAAATAACCAACATAAAAGAGAATGTAATAAATGCAGTAAAGGAACACAGAGGAGGGAAAGAGCTAAAAGATCAAATTAAGGTGGTTTTTGGATTTGGGCTTCAAATAGAAGTTGAATTTCAACAGGCAGATGTGAAGAGAGGGTAGGGAAAACTGTGAGTAAAGACATGGATATGAGATGGTTGTTCATTGAGTTCATGAAACAAGAAGCAGTGTGATTTGCCTGAAGCATAAATTAGGTGATTCAGAACAGTGAGATGAAGCTGGATCATGGAGAACCTCAACAATCTGTTTTGAGTTTATTCTTAAGGCAATGAGAAGCTACTGAATGTTTTTCATTCTTCTCAATGAGGGTCATTTCATGAGCAGACTTCCTGAGGGCCCTGCTAAATATGTAATACCTTGATTACCAAGATTCTTTGAGAATGTCTAGGAGTTATTGTCCCAAGCAAGGGGAGGCACTTCGGAATTTGTGTGTGAATAAGTTGCTACATGACATTTTCTGGATATTTAAATGTTAAGCAATAAACAAGATATAATAATCACTAGCCCCCTATCCTTTGCAATCTCTCCCCACATCCACAACTGAACAATGAAGTTTTAAATAGCACTGACATAAAAAACCTACTGCTCTGCCCCTATCACCTTATCTCCTCCCTGACTAGGGACTGAAAGCTTGTCTCAGTGATGCCTTTTCAGTCAAGCTCCAAATGTCAGCAATTTTCCAGGATAGGAAGTCTGACCAGAGCATAATAGCTGTTCTACTGAAGGGAGAGCCCACCTCTGAAGAAAGAGATCTTCTTTCTCATCTCTTTGACACAAAAGTTAAGTTCTGCAAGGATCCAGAGTCCCCAGAAGAGGTAACTAACAACAGTGTTTTGATGTCATGCATAGAAGTGCAGAAGGGTTTTTTTTTTAGTTGATTTCTGAACTCAATGAGTTCTTCAGACTATGACCTACTCAGAGGATTTTAGTACCAGGATATTGGTATGCTACAATGATACTCAGACCTCTTTCATATGCAATGTGTAAAATTTGAAGATATCTATACCTTATAAAGTCTAGAATGACATGTTATTCTAAAGTAGAAATTATGTGTCACATGGCTCTTCAGATTACTAGTGATACCAATGTGACTCTAGACTCCGGAGTCTAGAGTTATATAAATATTAGTAATGCAGGAACATAGCCAATACATGATCAGAGTTTCATCCAAAAAACTCATTGCAACCCAAAAACCAAGTTCATATGTTCAAGTGATATCATATGTTCAACTGACCTTTCTTGGTGCTGCTTTCTAAGTGAGTCTAACACTACTAGATGATGAGGGTGATGATGATGATGATGATGATGATGATGATGATTAGTATTTATATAGTACTTTAAGATTTGCAAAGCACTTTGAAAATAAACCCTGGGAGATGGGTGCTATTATTATCCCTATTTTACAGTTGAGGAAAACTGAAGCAGACAAAGGTTAAGTGACTTGCCCAGGATCATATAGCTAGTAAGTGTCTGAGGCCATATTTGAACTCAGGTCTTCCTGACTCCAGGTCAAGTGCTCTACCCACTGCACCTTCTTGCCTACTTCTTGAATGTTTCATTTCTCTAAAAAAATTTTGTATGTTTAATTAAATATAATTTTACCTACTTATATGTTAAAGGAGAGGGAGAAAATGGTCTCTATGGTATTATAGATATAATGTTCCATTAAACACCAGCCCATTTTGAGTTATTCTGTGATTAAATAAGGTAATATGTATATAAAGCACCATGTAAATATTGGCTATTATTATTAGCAGGGAGCTTTGCTCAAGATTTGAATGACCACAAGTATGTGTTACTTGAAACACATTTGAAACATACTTGAAACACAAACATGAAAGGTTTGATATAACACTATCAGCTCACAAAAGTCAGTAAATGCAATACCACACATTACTATGATAAAGATGTTCCAATATATCTTAAGATCAGAACCATTTCTGCCCCTCAGCTTCATATCCCCTCTGAGAAGTCTAAATGGATACTTAGAAGAAATGTGGGGTCTCTTTTAATTTTTTTTTCTATGCAGTCTATGAAGAAGAACAAACGCCATCTACTCTTCACCCATTTTGAACATTTCCTGAAAAACAAGCTTTCTTTAGAACAACAAATCCTAACTGAGGAGAACACCACCTTGGGGATAAGTAAGAGGTGAGAAGACCTTCAAATCTAGAGTATTAAATGTACTTTCCTACAGACTAGGTAAATACTGAAACTTGTAAACCCAAAATGTTGACCTTTCTGTTTGTCATCTCAGATTTAAATGCTTCATTTTCAAATGTAGCATGAGCGAATTAGAACTCTCCACTACAGCTACCAGGTATCATCCCTACAGAATGTAAGTTCCTTGAGGACAAGAGCTATATCATTTTAGGCCTTATATCCTCAAGCACTTTAGCACAGCACCTGGCACACAGTAGGCATTTAGTAAATGCTTGCTGAATGAATTTAATCAAATTAGTATTATAAGAGCTCTGTAAGAACTTCATTCCAGTAATTATATCTTGGGTCATCAAGAAAGCATCTGATTGGAAGACTAGCTAAGATGGTGGGGTAGGAGGAACAATACAACCTAGCTCTCCACAACTTTTCCAACAAAAATCTTGGAAGAGTATCAGACCAATGATTAAGAAATTTAGTGGGGGGAAAAAAACACAGCAATTTATTTTTTTAGTTCAAAGAGCAGGGAACAGGAGTCAGCCAGCAGCCAGGTTATATATTCAGTGTGAACTAAGGAGGTGACCTGGAGCTATATTCTAGGGCAAAGGGCAACTGTAGAGCCAGCTTAGAACAGAAGTGAGTAGAAGCTATGCAACTCTGGCTCTGGAGTAGGATCATGAATTCAGCCCACATGCTTGGGCTGAGGCCTATAGCTGAGTGACCAAGGCAATGAACCAAGGCCAAAGGGAAAGCCAGAAGTTGTTATTGTGAACCTGTACAGCCTTCCAGCTAAATGACAGGGAATAGGGCCAGCAACCATCTACTAAGGCGACAACCAGAAGCAAACCTACAGTTGTGGTACCCAGATCCAAACTCAGGTTAGGAGCTTGCAAAATTCAGACCAGGAAGGTAGCAGTTAAATCCTAGATAAACACTTAGATTGTACCAAAAATTTGCAGATCTCTAGCCTGAGTTGCCCCTGTGATTCTTGAAGAGTACAGCACCCAATACCCAAAGAACACAGCAGCAGGAAGACAGTAAATTCAAATCAAGACCAAGTAAGACTGACATTCCCTCCAGATCCCAGAGCCTGGACCTAATACAAAGTCCCAATTCTGGAAGTAAGGCTGGAATAATAAGTAAACAAAAAAAAAAAGATTCATCATACAAAGTTGTTATAGCAGGAAGGGGCTCAAACCAAACCTCAAACCCAAAAGAAGAAAAAGAATTCCAATATTTACAGACAAAGTCTCAAAATAAAACACAGCTTGGCCACAAGGCCAACTAGAAGTACTGGAAGAAATGAAGCAAGAGTTTAAAGTGACATTATAAATAAAATGGAAGTCCTAGAGGAAAGAATTATTTTAAAAATGAGAGTTTTATAGGAAAGACTTTGAAAGAAAATTAATAGTTTAGTACAAGATGTATAAAACTCTACTCAAATAACAGACCCTTTAAAATTTAGAATAGTGGGGCAGCTAGTTGGCACAGTGGAGAGAGCACTTACCCTGGAGTCAGGAGGGCCCGAGTTCAAATCCAGCCTCAGATACTTGACACTTATTAGCTGTATGACCCTGGGCAAGTAATGTAACACTAATTGCCTCACCCCCAAAAAAAAAATTTAGAATATCCCAAACACATATGACTCCATGAGACGAATAAGAAATATTCAAAGAACTGAAGGCTAAAAAAAGAAAAGAAAATCTAGATGGCTCAAAAACAAAAAACCTGCAAAACAAATCAAGGAGAGATAATTTAAGAATCATTGGACTACCTAAAAGCCATGACCAAAGAAAGAACCTGGATATCATATTTCAAGAAATCATGAAAGAAGACTGCCTACATCTATTAGAACCAGAGGACAAAGTAAATATAGAAAGAATCTACTGATCACTTCCTCTGAAAGAAACCCTAGAATGAAAACTCCCAGAATCATGATAGCCCAAATCCAGTGCTCCTAGGTCAAAGAAAAAATACTGTAAGTAGACAGACAGAAAGAAAGAAAGTACTGAAGAATCACATTCAGAATTATATTTGGTTTAGCAGATACCAAGATAAAGGAGCTTAGAATACAGTATTCCAAAAGAAGAAGAAAAGAAAAAGGCTTACAACCAAGTATAACTAATGGAGAAAAAATGAGTATATTCAATGAGGAAGAAAATGTACTTTTAATGAAATAGTCGAGTTCCAGGCATTCCTGAAGAAAAGATCAGAGTATGGGTCATATAGGTAGCACAGTGGATAGAGCTCCAGCCTTGGAATCAGGAGGACCTGAGTTCAAATCAGGCCTCAGACACTTGACCCTTAGTAGCTGTGTGACCCTAAGCAAGTCACTTCACCCCAATTGCCTCACAAAAAAAAAAAGACTAGAGTAGAAACTTTTAAATATAAACACAGGAGTTAAGAGAAACATTAAAAAAAAGTGAGCAATCAGAAAGGATTATAAAAGGATGAAATGTTTTACATTCTAATGGGGGAGATAATACAAATATTCTCTCAGAACTCTAATGTGATAAGGGGTCACAGGGGAAGTTAAATAAGACTGAGGGCCTGGGAGTGGTTTTGTAATGTTTTGATTATCTTACAAGATAAGAAAGGGAGGGGATAAGGGATATCCCAGAGATGAAAGCCAGGTAGCATAATGGATAGAGCTCTGGGACTAGAGTCAGAAAGACTCATCTTCCTTAGTTCAAATCTGGCCTCAGACACTTACCAGTTGTGTGACCCTGGGCAAGTCACTTAACCCATTTGCTTCAGTTTCCTTATCTGTAAAATGAGCTGGAGAAGAAAATGGCAAACCACCTCCATATCTTTGTCAAGAAAACCCAAAAAATGAGGTCATGAAGAATTGAACATGACTGAACAACAACAACAGAGATGAAAGGGGAATAAGGATAGAACTTCTCTCACATAATTAAAGTGTACAAGTAGATGACTATAAAAACAAGAAGGAAGTTGTATGGGTGGTTCACTTTCATCTAACCCAGTCAAAAAAGGTAGAAACAAACACACACACACACACACACACACACACACACACACACACACACACAGAGAAAGAGAAAGACAGAGAGAGAGAGAGAGAGAAGAAAGAGAGAGAGAGAGAGAGAGAGAGAGAGAGAGAGAGAGAATGTTTAGTTTAGAAATACATTTTAATCAATAGAAAAACATGAAGGGGTGGGAAGAATTGAGGAATAAAAGGAGGGTTTAGTAATAAGCAAAACAAATGCTAACCTCAAAGGGTAAATCATGAAAAGGGCTATAAAAGGAAAGAAAGGGTAAGAAGCTATGATTTGGGAGAGGGGAAAACAAGATTGTCAGGAGAGCAGAAATAGATTGCATCAAGCACAGAGCACTGGTGCTAAGCATCCTCCTTTTTCACCACTGTCTTCTTTCTAAAGAGATAGAGAGCAAAGGTAGGAAAATGCATAAGAGTAAAGTATAGAGGGAAATGCAAAATTAATAGTCATCACTGTGAATGGGATGAATTCCATCATAAAATAGAAGAAAATAGCAGAATTGATTAGAAAGCAGAATCCAACAAGAAACACACTTGAAACATAAACACTCACACAGTCAGAAAAAGGGATTGAAGCAAAATCTATTATGCTTCAACTGTAATCAAAAAAGCAAGGGTAACAATAAGGATCTCAGACAATGCAATAACAAAAATAGACTTGATTAAAAAATAAAGAGGGAAACTGTATTATAAAGATACCATAGACAATGAACTAATATTAATACTTAACAAATATGCACTGAATGGCATAGCATCTAAATACTTAATGAAAAAGCTAGATGCGTTACAGGGAAAAATAGGCAGTAAAACTATAGCAGTGGAGTGCTTCAGTGTACCACTTTTTAGAACTAGACTAATACAACAAAAAAGAAAAAAGAAAGGATCTGGATAGAATTTTAGAAAAGCTAGATATGATAAATCTCTGTCAATTACTAAATGGGAATAGAAAGAAGTATACATATTTCCCAGCTATGTGTGGTAACTTTACAAAAATCGACCATAAAAGTCTCACAAACATATGCAGAAAAGCAGAAATATTAACCATATCCTTTACTGAACAAAATGAAATAAATGTTATATTCAACAAAGGGCCATTGAATAGAGGATTTTTTAAATTTAATTAAATTAATTAATTGGAAACTAAATGACTTAATACCAAGAACCAGAAGAACAATTTATATAGCAACAACATTGTAAAGACAAACAACTTTGAAAGACTTATTCTGATCAATGCAATTACCAACCATAATTCCAGAGGACCAATAAGAATCATACTACCCACCCTCTGACAGAGAGATAATAGACTCAAGATGTAGAATAAGACAAACACTTTTGGACATGGTCAATATGGGAATTTGTTTTCTTTGATTATGCCTATTTCTTAAAAGGGTTTTTTTATTCTTCTATTGGAAGAAAGGGAGAGAAAATTAAATGTGTGTTTATTTTTAAAAATAAAAAGTTAACAGAGGGAGGGAAGAAAAGGAAGGAAGGAAGAGTGGGAATAAAAGAAGAGAAGTAAAAAAGAAAGCATCTGGTCAACCACCTACCTTCAGGCATGTGAGATGTTAACCCCCCATTTTACAAATAAGAGATAACACTTCCAAGGCGGAATAGAAAGATTGATTGATAGATCTATAGACGTGCATACATTTATGTGTCTATGTATACATATGTACATAAAAATAATTAGTACAAAACTTTTAAGTTACGGGACAAGAGCTGGAAATCAAGTACCTCATTTTTTGATATAGAGCTCATTTTATTACTACCTTAGGCTATTTCATGCCGACTAATTTTAAAACATAAAGATTCAAAGAATCAACTGTCCAGATAAACATTTGAGGTCCCAGATTAAAACATGGACACAAAGGCCAATGGATTATTTTTAACAAAGGGACAGCTCCTCAAAATAATTTCTCTAAACCTACTTCCAAACAATGACCTAACAAATTGAAATCTGGAGTTATATTGCATGCATGCACATGCATATACATACACAATGACTGAATAATTAAGGACCCTGCCACCAGCTCATGCAATCTGATTCATACAGCCTAAAGTTGAAACCAGTGTCTAAAGTTATAACTTAATGCTTTTTTCCCTGTATCTGTTTTGTGTTTTTCAGCTCTGAAGCTAAAAGTCTGCCTCATTTCAATCCACAGGAAAAGAAGGAGTTAGATTCATTAATGCAACAGCTGACAAAATTGTTAGAGAAAGAGGATGATTTTTAAAGATGAGTTAGTATACGTGCAAGTGATATATACAATGTAAAGCTTTATATATGCATATGTGTGTGTAATGACTAAAGACTAAATAGAATAAATAGTTGGCGTTAGAAAGTAACATAGCACCTTAAGTTCTTATCTACATTTCTATTATAAGGGATATTTATTACTTCTTTTTTTTTAAATATATTTATTATTTCTACTCTAAAGGATAAAATCCCAATTCCTTTATTACTACAGTCTTATTAAAATACTGACTAGGCTTTCTTCTGGAATTCTCAAATATCATTTATCAGTGCAGAAGACTAGCAGAATAACTAATTCAAACAAATAATTACAGTTGACAGTTTTTTATTCTGGACAGCTCACCTGTATCAGTTGTCTGGGACACTAAGTTAAAAGATTTGCACATGGTAACAATAAGCAGTACGTATGAGAGATAGGACTTGAACCCAAGTCTTCTTGACCATAGCCAAGGTCAGCTTTATAACCATTATGTATATATTATATCCATATGTATATAATACGTATAATGAATGTGTACCTAAGAAAAATACAAATATTTCCTTACAGACAAACCTTTAGGACTAAAACAACAATAAAAACAATATACCTATTGGTGGTTCAGTACATAGCATGCTGCACTCAGAGTTAGGATAATCTGAGTTCAAATCCTGCCCCTGATTTGTCTGACTATGGACCTATCACAATCTCTTGCAGCTTCAGTTTCCTCATATGTAAAAAAAGGGATAACATCTGTAGTACCTGTTTCACAAGGTTGGTATGAGGCTCAAATGAGAATCTATTAAAAGCACTTTGCAAACTTTAGAGTAAGTACATATGTTACTTATATAATACTCAATGGGGATGTTCTATGATTCAAAAGATCTTAGGAAAAACTGATTAAGTGAAAACAAACAGCAAGAATAATGATAATTTAACTGAGGTTTTAAAAAAAGATGTATATCATAAAGGAAAACCTCAGAATCCACTTATAACTCTGAACTTTTGCTAACTCTTCCTTATTTTTTCACCCAACAATTAAGTATTTTAAGTTATTTTTTCTGTACTGAAGTTAGAAGTTCATTTCTTATTTTGCCTCACTGCAAACAGCAGAGTTCTAGAATGACAAGCCAGGCTCAGGAACAATAAGAGTTCCTATGAAGATTATCCTGTTAATAATGATCCATTTTAATAATCCTATGCTATCTCCCACTTCAGATACATTAATAAATTAGTAATTGCCCTGTGGACTCCTCCAGAACTCCATGAGTCAGGTTTTCTTAAAAAAAAAAAAACCTCTCTTTATGTCCCTCTTTAGTAATGGTTATGCTTAATTAAAGAGGTTGTCAATTTCTGATATTCTGAAATAGGAGAGAATTCTATTCTGTTTTTATAAACATCCAATATAGATCACTATGAACTTGATTTTACAAAAAATTTTAAATATATTTACCAGCACAGTAAAGGCTCATTAAGCCAACTCCATAAGGTTATTCAACACAGAGCTGCCAAGTGCTCAAGGCCTCTGGGAGAAGAGAAAGAATAGTATAGCATAGAAATTAAAGACCTTTCTTCTTCCTTTCCAGTTTGTATCTAAGTGAGACACCTTACTAGAACCTAATCCTGTTAATTTATTGGCTGCCAGCCTAGACACTCCATTAGATTTCCATTAATACACTAACAGCTGCAGTCTCTTAGTAAGCACATTCTTCTTAATGGAAATGCCACATAGATTACAAGGCAGGGATCAAGTTCTACCTCCTGCTGAATTATGTGTATTTAAAATCAATAACAAACTTGTTTCAGAAATAGTGAACTTCAAGCAGTTGTTAATACACAGACACAACAAAGAATAGGCCAGGACTGCCCTCTCCATGGATAGGAATCAAAATGTTACTGTCATAACCAAGATCCATTTTTCCCCACAAAAAAAAAATTATAATTCTCTCTGTGTTTACCAAGCACCTACTTTATACAGAGAACTGATACAAATCCATTTATTATGATGAATAAAACTATCAAATGCTCACATTATTATGTGTCTATTTTTTAAAAAGTAACTTTATTTTAATCAAAACATCAATACTAATCATAACGGTATTTTTTTTCTTTACACTTAAATATAACTTGAAATCCTATAGTTTCATATACAAAACTCTGAAGAACTACATGCAGCCATCCCTAAATTAGTTACGGCAACTTAAGCACATATTTTTTAAAATTCAAATACACTTAAAACTGTAAGGGAATCAAGGTTATACACCTGAGAAAATAACTTCTATCACATAATGATGTCAACATGTTTCAACCCCGGTGGACCATCTTAAATAATTATTACATTATGTGACTTTATTCATTGCTTGAATCATTATCAGAATTGTTCTCCAAAAGTGTTAAGATTCAAACAACTTTTTAAAAACACACACTCTTGATTAGATAGGGGTGCCAAATTATCAAACAAATTGTTTGGCTAACAAAGACATTGAACAAGTAAATGTCCATTGTGAAAGGGCCAATCTTTGAACATTGAAAATCTTCACCACATCAGCCACGGGTGACAAATTGGTGTTTGGAGGAGGGAAAAGCATGACAACCCTTGAAAGATAAAACACATAGGGGCAGCTAGGTGGCGCAGTGGATAGAGCACTGGCCCTGAAGTCAGGAGGACCTGAGTTCAAATCCAGCCTCAGACGAAACACTGGACACTTACTAGCTGTGTGACCCTGGGCAAGTCACGTAACCCCAACTGCCTAAAAAAGAAAAAAAAAAGAAAGATAAAACACATAAAATGACCTGAAGACCTGTGTAGCCCTTCTGCTTCTGCAGTGACAGTGGCTGAAAACAGTACCAAGGAAACTTCAGAATTACAGTTCCTAGGCCTCAAACATTAGATTTAACTGCTAATATCCAGTGTAGCCACCAATGAGGTAGCATACTACTAGAGAAACTAAACCACACCCACACTGACACTCTGTTCTGGGTCTGATTTTTACTAATGGGTGGTAAGGTGAAAATGATGAGAATCTTGGGGGAAATGACTGCTTCCTCTTAGAGTTTGTAATAGCAAAAGATAGGGAATCTGGGCAGTCTGATATGCACCTCTAATTTATGGGAAAAGTCATTTCAAAAGTTACAGAGGAAAGACAGGTAGGACCCCATGGACTAAAATGCTTCTGGAAAAGTCAGCCCAATAGGAATGAGAGAGGCTCAAGTATGAAATTCCAAAGACACAAAGGATAACAATGCTAATGAAAAGAGAAACAGTCCCAATGAGAAGGAAACATGGGATTTGTCTGATGAAACTGGTGTGGATATACAAGATATTCACCAACGAACTTAGATTTATAAAAGAAATATGCAGAAAATGGAAACAAGGTTAGGTAACAGAGGATGAATATGAAAAGCATGGCATGGCACTTTAAAAAAAATAGTATCAGGAATTCTAAGGTTCAGAATTGAAATAAGGCTGGTGAAGGAAGCCAAGGGTGGGGGGAGGGAGAGTGAAAGTTTATAGTTTTAGTTATATTGGATGAAAAACAGAAGATCAAAGAAGTGTTAAGATCTATCTTTGGGTAAGTGGGATGATGTGAATAACAACAAAGAGAAGGCAGAACTGTTCAGCTCTTGATTTAGTTTCTGTTTTCTCAACAAAGGAAAATGTCCAAAAAAAATTACTAACAAGGCATCAATACCCAAGATAAGTAAGGAGATAGGAAGTCAGCTTCCAATTGTCCTTTATGAATTCAAGTCATGTGGAACAGATGAACTGTAACCTTGGGTACTGAAAGAATTGGCAGATGTAATGGCTGAGCCACTGTCAGAGATGTGTTAAAGCTCATGGAAAACAGGGGTATCATAAGAATGAAAAATGGCAAGTTTTCCCAATTTTCAAAAAAGAAAAGAGAAGAGACTTTAAACTATAAGCCAGTGAACTTGAGTTCTATCCCTAGGATCATTAAAGAAAAGGTTGGCAGACATTTACAAAAGATTCTGAATGGTTTCATCTAGAACAGGTCATAATAAACTAACTTCCTTTTTTTTTTGGTAGGATTATTAAACTAGCAGGTAAGGAGAATGCTATGATTACAAGTTACCTAAATTTTAGTAATGCTTTTAATAAAATATCTCATGCTATTCTCATGGAAAAGATAGAGAGATATGAATTAAACTAAAGTGTAATCAGGTGAATTCAGAATTGGTTGTATGCCTGGATAAAGAATAGTTATTAATGGTTCAATGTCAACATGGCAGGAGGCTTCCAATGGAGTACCCCAGGGATCTGTACTTAGACTTTTGTTGTCTAATATTTTTTATCAATGATTTGTATAAAAGCATAGATGGTATGCTTATCAAATTTTCAAATAACACAAAGCTGGGTGGGATAGCTAACACAGTGGATGACAGAGTCAATATCTAAAAGGATCTTGACAGGCTTGAGCACTAGGTAGATTCCAATAAGATAGTATTCAATGGGAATAAATTTAAAGTCTTGAAGTTGGGTGCAAAAATCATCTTCACAAATATAATATTGGAGAGACATGTATACACAAAAATTGTTCTGAAAATGATCTTGGGACTTTAGTAGACTGCAAGCATCAATGTGATTTAGCCACTAAAAAAGCTAATACATTAAGAGAGGGATAGCTTCCAGGAATAGACATCATGTGCACTATTCTATTCAGTTCTGGGCACCATGGATTAAGGAGGGCATTGATAAACTGGAGAGTGCCCCAAGGAAAACAACTAGGATCAAGAAGATTCTTAAGTCTCTGACATAGGAGGATCATTCGATGAAATTAGACATGTTTAACTTGGAGAAAAGAAGGTTCAGTGGAGATATAATAGCTGTCTTCAAGTATTTAAGGGTCTGTCATATGGAGGAAAGATTAGATATTTCTCAGTGTATGGACTACCTTAGGCAGACATTTTGAAAATACACTTTTCAAGGAAAAGTTCAAGCTTTGCCACCCTAAAGGGGACCCACAACCTGAACATTTCAACCACATACTTATAAGCATGTTAGTTCTGAATAAAGTAAAA